GTATAGCCAATACATCCTTAAACAATAGAACAGTGTCATAAAGAATGAAAGCTCTACTCAGTTACTCTGTGATCGCGTACCGTTGTTACGAAATGATTATTTTCTTACTTTCACACACGTGATAAAGGGCGAATACTTGAAGTCTAACAATAAGCAGTTACGCGTGAACATTTTTATTGCTGAATACCTCGTAAACAATCGACTACGACCTGACATAAATCAGGCATTTTTCTCACTTTTATACCTGCTTACCTCTTGTCTTTTGTCACGATCAACCCATAACATTTTATATCGCAGCTACAACCATGCTTCGATTCCGAACAAAAAGGAAACGACACTTCGATTAATGTAGTCCTATATCATTATTAATGATCTGTAAACTGAACTAGAGGGACGAGTATCGTTTCTCACATTTCCGTGGAAATTCCCTGACCGAACGATTTGATCAGACGACCTTTATGTCTGACCAATCCCGTGGACCATGATTCTAGTTCCAATCAAAAAGATACGGAACCTTGATTACGATGTCCTATGCCATTATTAATGACCAGCGGACCGGACTATACAGGTGAGCGATCTTGTTTCGCTCATTTCCATAGAAATTTGCACGATCGCTTCAAATTTCACGGGCTACCGAGTCTATCGACGCTTGTGCATGCATTATTACAAGATGACGACGCCGCGCCCCGCGTCGCGTCGTTCCCAAATATGCTAACAACGCGTTGGTCAAGGGACGCGCATATATGCACATGTGTTGTGCATCGTGTCGCATCGCATTGAACCCGCGAGCACAGTTGCTTGTAAAATGCCCGTCGACGTGGGATTTGTCCGAGATAACTGAAACCACGCCGCGCCACCGCAGCCTTGACTCGCTCAAGCTGACACGTTGTTTTCTCGCAATTTCTTACGATGCACCGACGACACCGGACGTCGCGTCCTCCCCAGCTGTTTCTTATGCGAAACTCTATTGAAATGTTTCCGGCTGAGAAAATCTGAGCAACGTTGGCTCACCTGACCTAAATATACACTTTCCTCTTTTTTCTGAAAAAACAATTCTATGGAAGATGCAATACAAGTGAACGAAATACAAATAAGACGTGTCGCTGTCTATTCCCCTCTCATATATAAATAAAATGATAATAAATAATATGATCCTGCAGAAAGGGGAAAAATAAATTCCTCGTACTTGTGGGTTCTTAATAACGGAAGCTTCGAGTTATATTAGACGCCTGACAACAATATTTCGATCCTGGATTAATTATGAAAGCTCTTTGATAGGTACTCAGGTATTTAAATTATGCGATAATGTTCTATAATCAAGGGAGCATTCACCAGGGAAAAGCTCAATGCTCCGATAAACGAAAAAAGAGTCGGACAACCTTCCTTTTTTCCCTCGGGCGGAGCTCCACATTCTGCACATACGCGCGCAGGCGGGACAGCTTTCAGCTCGTCAGCCGTGCTTTTTTCGAGGAGGATCGTCTGCAGCCCCGATTTTAACGAAGCTGTGCACGGCATAATAGCTTAGAGGACGCCGTTCAAAAAACGCTGACGTACCGATAGCCTTGTTAGCTTCTAATTTGCGTGATCAACGCGTTTCTAGTATACCTGTGACACTCGCCAACTCGACGAACTCACTACCCAACTCTGCATATCTCTCTCTATTATTCACTCTCTCTGTACAGTCCTATTTCTCTGTTCTTCTCTTTGTCTCACCTCTGTGCATATCGCGGCGCATATTAATCGAGTTTGTCTATACCGAAATAACGCACGTACAACCGATAAAAGAATTTACTGGCTGGTACGTTACACTGTTCACTCGCTCAACGTATTTCTTACAAATATATTGATAATTTGAAAATGCGACACGTCACTATAAATTTTGTATGTGAAAATAGTATAACTTTCGGAATCGAAGTTTCGCTGTATTTTTTCATCGACTGTACGCAGAGTGTTTTATAAGTGGTGC